GGATTGCCATTTGCTTCACTATATCCTCCAATGATGATGATTGTTGTGGCCTTTGGAATGAAGGGGGATTGACTTGATTTTGAGTATTCCTCCATGAAAAGTTTGGATGATTCCTCCAACTTGGATTTTAACTTTGAGAATATGGATAATTTATTGGACCTTGGTTGTAGGAATTTACCAACTTAGCTTGCACTTGCACAAATTCTAGATATGCAACCCCAAGTGGACAAGCCATGGTAGGATGATCATGAGTTTCACAGATGCTACACACTTCCTTTGGAGGGTTTCTTGAGTTCAATGCAAGAAGAGCATCTAGTTTTTATTTCAGTTTTGAAATCTGCACATTAGAAGCATCATTAGAACCACTAGCAACACATTTACTCTTGTATCAGTGTGTTGGGTCTCCATTGCTATCCCCTCAAAGAGTTCATATGTTTCTTCCGGAGTCTTGGTTTTATAAGAACCACCTACAAAATTTGTGACAATATTATGACTAGAAGGGGTTAGTCCTTTGTAAAACATATGCATTTGAAGTTTCAAAGGAATCCCATGATGAAGACATTGATTGAGCAGCCCATTGAATCTCTCCCATGCTTCACAAAACGATTCATCATCTTGCTATGCAAATAACAAGATCTTGTCCCTAAGCATGTCCGTTTTTTGAGTGGAGAAGTATTTCTCCAAGAACTTCTTTTGAATAGCACCCCAAGTTGTGAGTGAACCAGGCTTCAAAGAATTCAACCAATACTTTTCCTTATCCTTTAAAGTGTATGGAAACAGTCTCATTCGAAGTTGATCTTCTGTCAGACCTGTCAAGGGAAAAGAGCTCACAACATTAAAAATATCCTTTATATAAGTTAATGGATCTTCATTAGGTAAACCACAAAAGGAAGGCAACATATTAAGATGAGAAGATTTAAGCTCGTAGTTTCGAGCTACAGTGGGCAACAAAATGCTTGAAGGGGATGTTGGAATTGTTGGGATATCAAGGTCTCCCATGAACTCATTGGCAACCATCATTTCTTCTTCTTCTTGGTCTGAACTTGCTTCCGAATTTGAAAGTGAGGAACCTGGAAGATCAGTGTGGAGAGCAAGACTTGTAAATGTGGCAAGAGCTTGCTCTTTTGCAGTTGACAACTCTCTTTCTAATCGGTTATGAATTTCAGAGATCACCCGATTGGGTTGCAACGATGGTCCTGCGTTCAAAGATGTGGAATGCTGGAACGTAGACCTCACTTGTTCAAGGAATGGCCTTCTAGACATGAACTACTTGAAACAGAAAATTTGAATTAATTAGTAGTACTAAAAGAATAGGGTAACCTTGGGCACATAACCAAGAAAGAACTTTCGTTCAGTCCCCGGCAACAGCGCCAAAATCTGTTGTTAATATGTTAACTCACAATTGTACAGGCCAATTAGTAGTATAGTAAGACAAGTACGAGGTCGTAGCCACGAGGAATGAGAAGTTAAAATTAGTTATGTACTTAGATTACCGAATTCAAGAAATTTGGAGGTTAAGTCTAAAATAGAATTTAAACAAGAGTGAGTTTGGAAACAAATGCAGTAGATAGACTTGTACCAAGCGGCCGAGTCGAGATCTTAACTTTCGAGCTCAATCTCTTGTAGGATGACTTTTCCTTGTTTTATTTATGTTGAACTTTATGATCCCGTTTGTAAACTGAAACTCTTAGATTGCTCTAATGTCACCCATATTAGGGTTTGATTGTAAGGCCGGAGGCCATTGATGTTAATTGCATGTTATTATCTTGTGCATGCTGCCGGTTGAGATTTATAAATGTATTTGACTGGTTTAAAAATTTTGGAAACGTCCATTTTTCAAGGGAGACTCTGTCGAAATTTCGGCAGAAAGTCTTGTTTCTTTAGTAAGTGGGCCCATCATCAGTAAGATGTCGAAATTACCACAAGATTCATTTCGAATTCCGAGGATTTCGGGGCGGGTCCTGTCAGTTTAATGTATCAAAAGATGGCGGTCTATTTCACGGCGATTTAAAAACCTTCTAGACGACAGTGGATTCCCGTCATCTATGTCAATTTTTGTAGTTGTGCAAATTGAAGCTTGAGAGATGAATAGAGATAATAAGTTCAGCCTCCATGAAATTAAATTTTTTAGAAAACATGGGATCGCTGCCATGGATTGTAAATTTTATTTTTTAATACAAGCAAAGGTTTCTCACACACACCCAACTAATGTGTCATGAAGATTTGAATATGACACTACTCATCTACAAATCAATGCCTTTTTTCATTGGACTAGACCCTAGTAGCGACATGGTTTGTAAATTAATCCTAATAGATGGATAACTATTGTCTTACATGGCATTCAATTCAAAATTTGGGTTTTATTAAAAATTGAAAGTATAGGTGGGTTATTGTATTGAGTTTTTTTAGTTCAAAGTGCGTATTGCTTAACAACCCTAAAATTTATCCAGGTAATCACTGAGGATTTAGACACAAATTTCTAAACTTCGATCGTTAAATTCTTGTGTTCTAGTGAATCGCTTGTTTACTTTGAGTAGTGTATTTGTTTTATCGTGTTAGTGGTTTGTGTTCATCAATAGAGTTCATTGATAGCAAAATCTTAGGACCCGTTTGGTACCCTATTTAAACCCAAATTTATAAACTAACATATTTTAAATCCAAAACTTAAAAACCCTGTTTGGTAGGCCCATTTTAAAAAACCCAAACAAAAAAAAAAACTAAAAAAAGTGAGATTTTAGAGTT